TCTTATTAGAGCTCATCACTAGTGTATATCCACCGTTCAGTCCGAAATTTGAACTCCGGACCTATCGCATGGAAGACACAATGGCAGATTGGTAACGTACACCCGATTATGTCGCAAATGAACGGCACTTTAAGTGACTAAACGGCCAAAATTCCTGCACTCCTCTGGTTGCTTTTGGTGTTCTGCAAAGTGAAATATTTTCACCATTTTTCTTCCCAATGTTTGTCAAACAATTTCCTTCTACATTCATTGGCTGTAACTACGCAGATGACGTTGTTTTAAGTTGCAAAGCATCCACTTCTGAAAAAGCTTCAGAAATTCAAAACGAATCCACATTGTTACTTAGTCCTTGTCCCGTTCCCTTTCACCGAATGCCTCCAAATGTCACGATATTGTTTTCCCTCTTGGTCCATGTACCGTATTCAGCTCTCACAGATAAGTTCAGCATCTTCTGCTAATCATAAACCAATATCGATATCAACAAGGATGAAACACCTTGGCGACACATTATCACACAATCTATCATGGTCACTGCATGTTCGAAACACATTCTGTAAAGTAAGAATGCTTTCGTATTTCTCACCCCGATTGAGAATACTTTCTGTTCCCCACAAGTCGACTGTTAGGTTTGTGAATGCATGCATGCTCCCCCACTGGTTGTACTGCTCCCCAGTGATATTTCCCGGGATATTACTCACTGGCGAGATCTGTAAAACACATCTCTGAACGTAGTGTCATCGTTAGGGATAAATTCATGGATTCTATCATGGACAGGCACCTGCAAGCATGTAAAACTTTCACTGCCAAAATACTCTCAGACACTCACTACCCATCCACTACAGAACGAATTATTAAAAGCTGTATTCACGTCATTCACACACCCAAGATTTGAACTTTTATCTCTATTTACCTCTTCCTATCGTAATTCTGTTTTGTCATATCTAGCACATCTACTTATTGATAAAGAGAAAATTTCCACAGAATTGCGCAATTGCTTGCTTCGCTGACAACCACAATCTACTGCTTTCAGTTTCATTATGTAATGATTTTTGAAAATTTGAATCCACAAATATGGTGTGTCAAATGCTAGAACTTTACCCATCTTGGTGCATATAGCTACCAAATTAATTGACTTGACTTACATTGTTATTTGAGAAGGTTTACAGGATAAGCCCGTATCATCAAACCTGTTACGTCACTAAATTGTTATGTTTTACGCCATTTCTATTCATTGCCTACTATTAGGTTGCACAATACTATACAACAGATGAACACCACAAGTGCAAAGAACAGAAGATATGGCACAGTAACAATAGTAGCACACGGGAACAGCGGACTATCACTAAGTCCGCGGTAGTTCTAGGAGCGGAAGCTATCCAGGCGAAACACAGGACGCACGGTTGGCTATCGATCATCTAGGTCCGCCAATACACGAGAGAGAAATGTACGGCTTCAGCGGCACGGGATTTTTAATGGCGTTGAGCACAAGTCACAAGTCACGAGTCAATTTACAAGTTTTACTCTAAGGCTTATATGTGATTCAAAATAGCATCGATAAATCCAAGAGAAAGATTATATCAATCAATTACACATTGAGCAATGTTCAATCATAGGCCACGGATCAGATGGACGGACCGAGCGAATATTGCCATACGACGCAATATTATTGATTTATCTCCACGAGGTTAGCACTGATCCAAAATGACCCTAATTTGGGTTTAATGTGTTGTAAATTTGTTCGATTATTTTCACATACTTAGTGTACATGCAGCCGGGCTTGTCTTAGGACGAATAACAATGATCTTCATCCTAACAAAACCATTTGGCACATTTCGTATTTCTTCAGTGTTTTAAGTGAACCAGTTTGTATTGTACTGAATTATACGCGTCTAAAATAATAGGCGCAACATTACTGATGTCTAATTTCGAATCCCTTTGTTGCACTGAGTATGAAGCTGTATTGACTCAATCAAGTTGGATCAATTTAAGGCAAATCTAGTTTAACTCAGACGAAATTAAATCATTCCATTTACTGCAGTTTTTTTAAATATTTTAAAAAAAAATTACAGACCCGGTGAATAAGTTCCAATGAATGATCAGTCATTCAGCTTGTTTTAGCTTCCGTAGACCATCACTCGTCAATCACTTCTCTCGTTTATGAAATACAGGAAGAGTGATCATTCGCGGAAGTAGTTTGAATATGGAGTCACATGACCAATAATCGATTTTTCCCAAACCGCACAATTTTCTCGCCGTTCAGTTCAATGTTTATGAATGAACACATACTTCGATAGGAAGTGATTTCGTGGGAGCACTCAGGTAAAATCAACAGATCACTATGAGTGTGGACGTGAATACTGTCAGTTTGAGAATGGCAAATTACGTTTCTTTTGGTATCTTTTCAGCTTCTATCGGATTATCAAGTGAAATTTCGCATTATCTTGATCATATATATTCCGAAACAGTCCTTAGTCCAATTCATTTCCCAGGGAAATATTAATAATACGAAGCCGACTTTTTGCGGATTGTTTCCTCATAGTGCACAAATCTATTTACCCAACTGGGGATCATGAACTCGGGACCTCAGCACAGGTAGCATGCAAGTATACTACTACACATTTGACCACTGTGCAGCTGATCAGATCGTTTCTCATTTTGAATATACACGACATAACACAATCCATGATCATATAAACAAACCCAATCCTCCAGTACGCTCATGTCACAAAATAATCAGGTTGTGAAAGTTTCCAACCGAGTCATAACCCCGGAAGCTAATGCTGAGATGAGCGAAAGCCGATACTCTCCACAAGTTCTCAAAGATGGATTGTGCGATACCGTTCATATTCAAAACGAGAAACAGTTTGATCAGCTGCTTACGTACTACCTGTGAGGTCCCGGGTTCGCGGTCCCCCGTTGGGTCGATGTATTCGGACGCTGCAGATGACACCCAAACAGATTGAAGCGAGTGTTCGGTGCTTATCAGTTTTTCAGCTCATGTCTCATTATTTTTCGCAGGATGAGGAAGCATCAGAATACGTAATCCTAAGAGCAAGACGGTTCATGGTTGTGTGCGTTGCGGTCCAAAGTAGGCCTTGTTCGAGGATGTACTCTAGCCTTTGTACAACCAAGCGCGGACCGCAAGGCATCAGTAATGTTCCAGACGAGCCGGTGGCCAGTCTTCGGTTTATTCACCTCTTTTGGAAAACCTTGCCGAACAGTAAATTTCGACAAGGGGCGATGACCATATTTAGTGGCGGGCCACACTCGCCACGTCACAGCGCTGTCCACAGATATTTGTAATGTCTTTTGTGGAGAACCCTTGCTAGGGGTACACCCACCACATCCTCGAGCGCTGCCGCTGATCGTCCGCGAACGCTTATTCGGCAGGCCGAAACCCACCTTATTCACGGTTGGCTGCGAGATGGCTGCCTTTCCCCTATCCGCGACCGGGGGACGCACTCAGTAGCATAGATAGCGCCTTGCTTGGTAACAGTCCACAAGCAGTCCAAAACGCTCTGAACCGCTTGGCAATCGAGGTATCCAAGTATGGTATGTGGTTTGCACCTTTTCACTGCAAAATGCTTGTTTAAGACTGGCAGGGGCCTGTTCTTGCACTCACTCTCTGTGGTGATCAGCTGAAAGTAGTTGAGAGCTTTAAGTACCCCGGGAGTTTGATCGCAGCTGGTAGGGGGTGTTAGGAGGAGATCACATCACTAACAGCGAAAATGAGAGCAGCTTTCGCCAACCTGCTTGTCTACAAGCCGGTGATATATATATATATATATATATCATGTCTTGTTTACACAACGAATTCATCACATAAAGAAGTCAAATTATCCATCACTCTCATATCCCTGTTGATATCAGCGTTTCTGATTCGTTGAACAAATTTCCCCTTGGACTATCGCCCATAATTAACTATCCACAGTAACCGGTTAGTTCAACTGCAAAATCAACAGCTGTTTTACCTTTGTCAAGGGAATCTTGTAAGACAGTTATGCAAGTTCGTCAGCTTAATTTCAGTGTCGTTTTCGTTTCGAAATATTCGATAACAGTCCGACAAAAGTCAATCAGTTTTTTGCCACAAAAAAAACGCGAATTGTTATCAGTTGTTTGTTAACCAGAGTGAAGTATCATTTATACGTGTATAAATAATGATT